TCCCTCTCTCCCCCCTCCTCCCTCCCTCCCTCCCTCCCTCTCTCTAAGCATGTCCTCAGGTGAGGATTAAAAACAATAAAAAGAGCCCTGGATGGTGTGCTCAGTGGTTAAAGCATCAGCCCACACACCAAAGGATCTTGGGTTCAATTCCTGGTCAAGGGCATATACCTGGGTTGCAAATTTGATACCCAGCCCTGGTTGGGGTGCCTGAGGGAGGCAACCAATTGATGTCTCTCTCTCACATCTATGTTTCTCTCTCTCTCCCCCTCACCCTTCTTCCCTCCCTTCCACTCTGAAAATCAATGGGAAAAATATCCTCAGGTGAGGATTAACAACAACAAAAAAGTAATTGTTAGAGCCAAAGGACTTAGGCAAATGGACACCTTGCGCAAAAGTAAATATTGGGTGACCATACTTTAGGCATAGCAGTGTCCACACAGTGGTATGTGATAGTTTAGGGTTAACTTGGATTGGAAGGCAGGCTAATTGTGATGAGCTGGATTATTTTGTCCCATTAGCATTACAGAATGAGAGCCTGTTGCTGGAAGGACCTGGCTAATTGGTAATGCCTGGGAAGCCTTCTGAAGTCCTCAGAGGGAGATAATCATTTAAAAGCTAGTGGCCTTTACCACCTCCGGCCCTAATCCTGCATTGGTCCAAGCCAGGTCACCTGATGAGATCAAAATGAGAAGCTAGGGAGAGTAGTGGTTTTTGGTTTCTTGCTGTTGTTCCAAGGGACAAAGTCTGCCATGGTGCACACCATCAGGAAGAGGAGCTTAGATGGAAAGTGCCCTGCATTCTGGCTGCTGCAGGACTTTGATCTGCTTGAAATAAAAATTCTTGCATACCTGCTTTTCTAAGAAATAAATTCTTGGTGTTTGCCTTACAGGAATTGTATAGAATTTCTTTGGTCTTATCTTCAACTAACATTTACTTCCTTGCTCATTCCTCTACATTAACACAAAACAACCCCTAAAACACCTGAACAAATTTCCTCAAAACACCAGATCCAAAGAAAGATTGAGGAAATTGGAATCGAGGGAGGTAAGGGACTGGGCAAGTTGAATACCATTTATTCTTGCTGAGCTTGGACACTCCTTATTGTAACTTCGCTTATTCACTGTTGAGAAAAGTGGGCATTAGCTCTTTTACATTGTTGATAATATGACTTCTAGAAATGTATTTCTTTACCGTAGAATAATTTAGGTGATAAAACTTGTCATAAGATAATTGTATCTGTGCTCCTCTAGATATTTACTTCCCATAGACGTCTTTTAGTCTCAGAATTCCGGTTCCTCTGTTTAGAAAATCAACTATTTCCTTCCTAGAGCTTAACCAGGTCTGTTGATTGGGTGCTAATGCTGTTGTTGTGTTTAACACTCTCTCACTGTGTCTTCTCCCAGTACAGTTTGGTCTGTAGTGAAGAGCATCCTTGGAAAGGATGGCCCATTGGGCTTCTACCATGGACTCTCAAGCACTTTACTTCGAGAAGTACCAGGCTATTTTTTCTTTTTCGGCGGCTATGAACAGAGTCGATCATTTTTTGCAGCAGGGAGATCAAAAGATGAACTAGGTAAATGTGTTCACATTGGGTTTGATGGTATCACCTTTCCAATGGTGTGGTTGCTGTGGATTCCATGCACTCTGTGCCCCTTTGTGGGGGTCCACCTGGCACTGGATTTCTGGATGCTGGGAAGTAATGTGGCCCTGGCAATTGCAGGCACCTTCCTCTGGGTGGCGCTGGCAACTGTTGGCACCTTCCTCTCAGGTTGGTAATTTACTCAGAGCAGGCTGAAGCTGTGCATCCCAAACTTTTGTACTGCAGTAACATTTGTTAATTTGTTCTGGCTCCATTTAAGGGGTGAGGAAATATAGAACTTCCTTTCCCTGTGGGAAATCAGCAATAAATGGGGAAATCACCTGTCAATCATTTTTCAATAAGCTTAAAACTTGGTAACAAATCTTGGTAGTGAAATTATAGTTCTTTCTATCTTATTGTATTTAGCTGCTTGACACCACATATCAATGTTTGGCCCACATGAGTGTGATTACTTTTTTCTTAAAATCTCCCTTCAGTGCTTTAGACCTATTCTGGGGTTAGTCAAGCTCCCAGGCTTAACTGTTCTATTTAATAAGACAACTTTGGTTTTTCATGGTAAAGGAAGAATCAGGGCTGTTGGGCTTTAAAATATTACAATACTTCAGAATGAGAAAGTTGAAAAGAGACCTGTGTTTCGGTGGCCTCTCGTCTCATTCTTCCTGCTAGGGCATTGCCATGCTGCTGGGGGCCTGCTCGCTCTGTGCAGATCAGCCCTCTGCAGGGTGGGGCAGGCTGGCCACGGTGCCACAGTGACCAGCCTAAATACGACCCTCACTAGGGCTTTCCATCCTGGCAAGATGAGGCGTAGACCCAGACTACCACAGGGAACCTGTGCTCTTAGGGTTTGACAGTTGCCGCAGACAATTGTGTTCCACAGCATTAGCATTTTTATTTGCACCTACCTGCAGCCTCTACCTTGACCTCTAGAAATGTCACATCAACTGTTCCTGAGACAAAATACTGTTTGCTAATTTTCTTCTCTAGGCCCTGTCCCTTTGATGTTAAGTGGTGGAGTTGGTGGAATTTGCCTCTGGCTTGCTGTTTACCCAGTGGATTGTATCAAGTCTAGAATTCAAGTTCTTTCCATGTCTGGAAAACAGGCAGGATTTGTTGGAACCTGTATAAGTATTGTGAAAAATGAAGGTGGGTCTGCTACTTGCACAAAGAGAGTGTATATTTATACAGTGCTGGTCTTGTTGCGGTGGATCACATGTATAATTGCTCTCTGCCCCTGTCTCATATCCCTTGTGTAGCACTGTGTGTTAATCCATGTTTGTGGATTTGTTTCCAACTCCCTTTAGCTTACTTTCATTATTCTCAAGAATGTTTAAAGTTCTTATTCCTAACCCCTGAGCCAGGTACCTGTCAGGATTCTTTGTTCTAAATAACCTGGAGGGAATTATTTAAATATGGACTTTGTTTAAGAGGACAGGTGTTTTGAAGTTGGCACCACTTGTTTTATGCCATATAGATCTTTTCAAATGACCCTAAGAGAACCACCAAGGGATTTAAAAGAATGTGCAGCATGCTTAATCCTTAGACTTCTGGAATTAGAAACGCACTAAGCAACTTCTGAAGGTGATTTTTTATCAATTTATAGTTATGTAGGAGGGTGAAGATTTTCTATTTAATGTTTGTATAAAGCTAATTCTATGCTACTGAGTGAAAACCTGTCCTTCCAGCATCCTTTATACATCTTGAAGCTTGAGATGTGAGCTCCCTTATCATGATTTTGAGAGGACAGTAGCAGTGTGCAGAAATTGTTCAATTTGTATCCCAAGTAGAGTGCAGACATCTTGTGTATTACTAATAGTAACCCCTCTTTAAATTTACATAATACTTTATAGTTTTACAAAGTACGTACACCTCCCTTATCTAATTGGATTCTTCATATCCACCCTGGGCAATGCTAAAACTAAAATGGGTCTCTGACTTCAACTCTTTCCACTGGCCCTATGCCTTGTGGTCTTCGCCCCCCAGGAGAAGCTGCAAGACGACTGCAGCCTCTGGCCCTGTGATTGCCTTCTGTCTGCCCATGTGAGGCCTCAGTTTTGCCAGATCCATCTACCAGGAGTTAGCCAGGCGTGGGATTGCTGTATGTTACCTGAGCATCACCCAGCTTTGCTGGGAGACCTGACATTATCCGATTTCCTGGAGTCGATTTAGTTCCATTAGTCCAGGGAAACCTGGAAATAAATCCTTTCATAACGTGTTGGTTTTTAATGCTCTTGTATGGATTTGTAAGTGCAAAAATATCTGTGCTATGCAGTTTCATGGAATATCTCTAAGGAAGGGGCTCTCAGTCTTTGATCACCCTTTTGTCTTCTAGGAATAATGGCCTTATATTCTGGACTGAAACCTACTATGATTCGAGCATTCCCTGCCAATGGGGCACTATTTTTGGCCTACGAATACAGCAGGAAGTTGATGATGAGCCAGTTTGAAGCAGACTGAAGTGTTCTAGCAAACCTGGATCCCAGTACAAGTGCTTGAGGACTGTAGTTCATCTCAGGGTTTCATGAAGTACAAGACCAGTGTGGAATTATTTTGATTTCAGAGCATTTTGTTGTCTTCCATTCTTCTGCCCTAAATCTTAAACTTTATGGAAGGACCTCAATTTTACACCATTTAATTTCTGCCCATAATTGTATCAAAATAGAAAAGTTGCTGATCTTGTCCTTGGTAGGACATACAGGATGCGCCTCTGGCCCTCTGTACCTAATCTGAAAATCTAAATATAATTATATCAGGGATTTTGCATAAACCTGTATGTGTCCATGCAGTTTGGATGGTGGTGTGTTGTCAGTGAAGTGCAATTTTGTTTTGTGTTTAATCTCAGACCACACCGGAAAAACCCAGCGGTAACCATGTTTCATGATTCCTTAACCCATCCTAGATGTATGGTCTCAAAATCTGCTTAACACCTGCACTATACCAAGTGGTTAAGTTTCTAAAAAGGTTTCCTGTGGTGCTTGAAAACCAAAATACCCATCTAGATTTTAAAGAGGAGAATATACCTGCATACTGATGTGGCTTCCATGTTTCTGATATTAGTTTCAGAGTAGGCATCCTGGATTTTTCCAGGTGCTCTACTGTTAAAATAGTGCCATTCATTTTTTTGGTGGGATCATATACTCTCTGAAATATTGTGGGGCGTGGGCTAGTATCAGGCCTCTGGAAAGCTGTGTGGCCTTCCCTGTGCCAGCTTCCTTCCTTCTCTCCTAAAGAGCTTCCCCCCTGCTGGGCTTTAGGTTGAGGAAGGGCCTGAGGGGAGGGGCTGTGCTGCTATCTTTGTGAAGACCCTGTCGCCCACAACAACCCTTAACTTCTATCTCTGGTTCCTGGGTAGGACTCCGGAGTATTCTGTCGGACCAGTTTGGACCACTCACTCATTGCCTCCACCATTTGGAAACCCATCCTGGGAGTAGAGGGCCAAAGCCAAGAGAAGCCCTTGTTCCCTTTCTGGTGACTGACAGTGCTCCTGGGTGGAGTCCTCTCCTCAGAGCTAGACAAAGCGTAGTGTTTGCACTGCATAGTGAGTACTGTCAGGGCTGACCCATTCTTAAGTTTTTCTTGGGGTCCATAACTCCATCATGCTTTTACAGTGTTGGAGCCTATTATATTTGGTACTGGCAGTCAGTGAATTTTAATGACTCTATGTGGGGTCTGACTTTATAAAGCAACAAAACAAGAAAAGTAACTTTTATTAAGCTATGCCATATGTATCCACTAACAGCAACAAAAACACTCATTCATCTGATACCCACAGACTTGGGGATGGGCAGCTGTTCTTTGGCCATCTGAGTGGTACTTCACCTGAACAGGCTAGAAATGAAGCAAAATAGAAAATGGGACCAGCTTCCAGCAGAAAGCGACCTGCTTCAGAGTCCTCGGTCCCCCTTCCTGGAGCCCGTCAGCATGTCTCAACACTGTTGGCAGTAGACCTCACATGTCCTTCGTAAAGGTTTAACTAAATATCTTCAATAGAAACAGTCTGAAGCAAGTAAGAGTGAGGGGCAGTAAAGAATGGAAAGGCAGAGGAATTTATTTTTCATTCTATTCATTGGGCATAATTTGTACCATTTCAGATCTGTACTCCAGACAAAAGGATGGTCATTTGACATACCGTGTTTAGAGAAATTCTCTAGTGTTCTGTATCATTAAATTATTTGCCTAATACTTGAGTATATGAGGAGTTCTTATATACATGCAGTTATGAAACTCGGCTTACTAGTTACTATCTCCCTGCATCAGGCTGTGGATGTGATGTGTGTGATTTGGCAGGATGCCATTCTTTTTCTTTAAATAGTTAAACCTTTTGCTATTTAGTTTTGGGTAATACTCCAGGTTATTAAATTATGTTTAAGAAAACTTGTGCCATTCTGATATATTCTAATGTAATTTCTCAAGTTCATATTGGGTTCCAAGAAAGTAACCCCCAGGAGACCCTAAGCAAGTTCTCCCTCTAGGAGAGGAAGCAAAATAGTGTGGCAACTCATTGCCAAAATTCTGATGGATCTTGGATCTCTTCTAGGGAAGAGAAACCCCAACTGCATCTCCTTATTTCAAACAGAAAGGTTCTTAGAAATTGGGGTCTGGCAGTATTGCAAAAGCTAGATCTTAGTCCTCACTGAGCCAGCCACGCATCCCCCCACCCCCCATTCAGTTAAGCCTGCCACTTGGTCTGCACTCTGGATTGTGGCATGAATTTTAAAGGAAACGACCTGTTCTGCCACAACATGTTTCTGTAACACCAATGAACAGGGATTAATGCAGTCATAACATGGAAGGAACTTGAGATGGTGTCTTCCAAGATCTCTTCCTTCAGGGAGTGTAGAACGATAACTTTTGTCAGAAAAGCAAAAAACCTTCAGCTGGGCTGCTGCACTGGCAGCTGGGGCCCTTTGTGGGCTCTTCTGAGGAAAGAGCGAGCACCTATGCCAGTGCCACTTTGGCACCCACCAGCCCTCCAATTAAAGGATTGCCCTAGTTCCCCCTAGTTCCTGTGGCAACCTCCAGACGTTCTGGGCTGCCACCTGGGTGGTTAGTGGTTGGTGTGCTGGTTACAACATTGCTTAGTTGGAGTGGCCTGCCCCAAATCCCCAAATCCCCAAATAACCCCCAACCCCGTCTCCCCAAGCAAACCATTTCTTAAGTGTGTGCTTTTTGCAGAGCACAAGGTTTTTCAGGAATGAGTCCAGTGTGTGTTAGCAGAGGCACTGTTTCTTTTTAGTTGCTACCTTTGTTTCCCGATGAATTTAACTTGGTCTAGATTGTTGAGAGCCTTGCCTATTAAAGGGCAAATCACTCAAATAAGGATAATTTCAATAAAGCCAAAATAGGACTGTTTTCAAGGGTAATTATGGCCTTAAGATACAGTGGCAGTGAAGGTACTTGTAATAAAATAGCCCTGGGTACCAAAGAGAAAATGATGCCCTGTCCACACAGGACTAACCAGTGTTTGTAATGAAAAGGTGACCTTCCTTCACGGTTCCCCAAGTTTAGGGAAAGTTGGTTCTTAGCCATTTTAAAATAATCTAGATCTCCAGGCAGATATTTCCTTTGACTTCACTTGTGATGTTCCACAGAAGCAGAAGTTGCTGAAGATTCTCAATCCTTCATGTTGACCAAGATTCTCTCCCCTCTCCAATGCGCGTGTGTCACTGAATGAAGCTCTGTGCAGAGGGCAAGAGAAAAGCATGTGTTGCAGGTGGGGAGCTGCTGTGTAAACGTGTCTCTGGGTTTAACAGTCTTTGCTCCCAATCTGATTTTTGTTAGTTTGTTAATCAAATGGAGGAAGGAAGTAGAAATTGCCTTCTAATCTGAAATTACAAATGTGAAACAAAGCAGGGAATAAATACTTGTCCAAAAACATATCAGTGAAAAATCCATAGTATCGGGGGGAATCACAAGTGTAATGTATGTCAGTTATTTTGACATGAGAGTTTTATTTAAAGTTTTTAAAAGTGATAACGTGTTCCTGTCTACTGTGTTCTAAATTCATCTCAGTGCAGTTGAAAACTGTGTGAAGTATATTCCTTCAAAAAGGAAAAAAAATTGCCATTGACATTTTCTCTTGTATATATTTAATATATATTTAATAGATTTCTCAAGAACATATGTACATATATTTAAACATAAGTATACCAGCAAGAAAATAGGTTTTGAAGATATAAATATGTAGCAGGGGTTGGGAAGAATACGGTTCTATTCTAGAAGGGGAACTACACTTAATCAGATACCAGCTACAACTTAATGTCATCAAAATATATTTCAACTGCAAACTCTGGACGATAAATATTCCATGTTTTTGGCTTATGGGGATTATCCAATTCATTTCTTGTAAGATAAAGCCTAGAATAGAAAAAAAACACATTACATTTTAGGGATTACAGAAAAGCCATTTAGGGCACCCTTTTTAAAGCTTTAAAAAAAGACTTGCTGGCCAAGATTAGCCTCTGCTGCCTTTTGTGTATCTTAGCTTTCTAGGAGCCAATTCTCCCACTTTCTCTAGTGAGATGCAAAATATCTTAATCTTTAGTAACAAACACACAGTAACAATATGCCACTGATTCTTTTAACATTGCCTTTTATGGAATGAATGACATCTGGGTTTAATAAAATTAACTTTTGTATGTGACAGAAATCAGCCAGAGAGAATGGATGTGTGTTAAAGCCAGAAATAAAATACCTAGTGTCTTTTAAATGACGAAGTTGGCAATTTCCACTGATTAACAATCTCGTAAAACAGCTTTACCCAGTAGTATGGAAATTTCAATGTTGAAGAAATCTTTGGAAACATGTAAAAGTGAGGATGAAAGTGATCTAACTGGTTGCCCCTCCAATATGAAGATGGTGTTTTAAAGGGAAAAAAATGTATCCTTTATTTAGCGAGAACCACATCTGAGGAATGCCACCAAATGAAGTTCCAACCTGATGTCTATTTGAGGGACTTTCTCCTGTTGTGAGTTAAAGTTATTGTTTGTATATACCCAGGGAAGAAAACTGGTAAATTTTTTAAATCTAATCTAAAGTTCATTTTATTAAAATCCTTTAAATGTGTGGACATTATAAGTATGTAGGTTAGATGTTCAATTTCCTGTTGCCTTACTGTACTTGAGGTGTGATTAAGTGAGTTCAGATTTGAAGAACAGGCTAGTATTTATGTAATGAGAACTATTAATTCATGCCACATACCATCACAACCACTTTGAAATTCACCTGTGTGATTTTTTGAACATTATTTTTCCTTTTGCATTGGGTGGCACTGTGATACCAGTAATCTCAAGTTGTCAGCACCATGGAACAAATAAAGTGGGGCACTTCTAGACTCAGGAGCGAGTTTCCAAATATGGTAGCAGTTTCTTTGGAATAATAATCTTCCAATCAATAATGACCTTTTTAAAAAGTGGTTCCCAATTTGTTATTAGAAATCACTTTTAAATGGAGACTATTAATGATTTAAAAAAAAAAAAAA